TAGAAAGTAGTGCACAGATAGGCCTAAAAATTTCATGATCAAAATAGTTGATGGCATAAAAACATCATAGAAATCCAAAATCAATCACACCTCAATTGCCCTAAAGAGAGTAAGGACCTCTCATCTCTACCCCATCATGTAAAACACCTAGATTGATAGCCTTTTCTCCCCATTATCTTAGATTTTCGGTAATTAATGATGAATTATACAACTTTTATGAGTTCCCACTTCAATTTCCTAGCTTGCTCTTGCTCTCCTCTTTTTGCCTCTTTTCCACGTATCTGATGTTTCTCTAAAAACTTATCTCTTTTCCTACTTTTAGAATATACTCCCCCAACACTTTGCTTAATTATGAACTTTGTCCATCTCATTACTAACTTCTCTATTTTTACCACTTATTTTCTCCAATTCTCACCAATGGCCCAATTCCATTATTTTTACTAATTAAATAATTAATTCAAATAAAATACTATCTAGTCTAATAATTAAATAAAATTCTAATTAATTATAAACAACTATCCCAAACTCTCTCTACCTCTATTCCAAGGATGCTTACCCCCACAATCACACAACAATAATTTAAAAGCATCAATTAATCAAATAAAATTCTAAATAGTTCAATTAAATTAATTAATCAAATTCAGGATGTTACAATATCTATGTGATTGATTATTGCTTGAATTATACTATCCTTTACTGCTTATGCACCACTAACTCTATTCAATATATTCTCACCCCTTGTTGTTTTGCTTGTGGTGTTCTGTACTCTCGTGGTACAGATACTCAAGTAGAAGAGCATTAGCCGCTGTTAAGCGGGAGGATAACATCGAGGTCTCTTCGTTCTTTTACAGTTTTTTGAGTTGTTAGTTTTGGCGTCACTCTGATATATAACACTGGGGACGAGTTGCTTTGTTACATATTATGTTTCTTGAGATGTTTGAGTTATTTTAATTGGTAATTCCTATTGAGACTAATGAATGTTTTCTTTGGAGATTTGATATTTTATTCTGTTGCATGTTTCATGCTATAATTTGTGATAAAGATACATGTTATGAATGTGTAACACCGAAGTTGTAGAAAATTAAATGTGTTATATTTATAAATCAAGGGTGTCGAGTTTTAGGGTGTTACACAAAAGAGATGTAGGGAACGTCTCAATTGACGGTGGAGGTGGACTTGACGTTTCTTGGTGTGAGGAGGACAATGTAAGTCCATCGTTGCTAGCTACTGATCGACGAGGACAATTGGAGTTTTGAGTATCTCCTATTTAGTGTTCACCATTTTGATGGTGTTTGATGTGGCAAATTGTTGACGAAAACTCCACAAACAACACCAATGATCTTGTGAAGACTCGAGTTGCTCATAGGGGTGAGAAATGAATAATATATATGAGTGATTTATAGGAATTTGCTAGTATTCTCTGTGTTCAGTACGACGTCGGGTTGAGGGGGGTACCTACAATAGTTCAAATGCTCAAGTTAGTGATCATTGATAGTGAAAGGTATCTTTAAGATAAAAGAATGTGTACCTGATTTGACGTCTTACTCCCCTTTTATAGTAAGATCATAGAGTTTTAGGAACCTACAACCTTTTATGCATCATAGTTGTATAAAATGATGCAGTTGTTTAAATATCATTCATTATGTAATATGAAGATCCTTCTTCAATCACTTGCCCTGATAAAGTGTTATTCTAGGACAAATTTATGTTTGTTTGCAAGGTACTAGAACATTCCTTGTAACCATAATTGAAAATGTGATTTTCTGATTCTAACATCATTAATCCAACATCACATCAATCAACATCAAAATTCTCTTTTGATTTAATCGAACAATCCATTGTCTTCTCAAAAAGATTATAAGACTTAAAATATTTTGTACCTAAGATGAACCATAGTTATTTTTAAACCTAAAATTTTCATAATGATTAGATTTTTTTTAAGAAAACTATTTTGATTTAACTATGTTTAAAATTTTTTTTTGTAAGAAAACTATTTTGATTTAATTATTTTTTAGAGACATATCTTTCTTCTAAATTAAGTACTTCCAAAAAAAAAAAATACGTATAGAAAAGTATAAAATGTGGATATAATTTTTATTTAAAAAACAATGTTTGAAAGAAAAAAATACTCAGTAAAGAAAAAATATATTGATGATTTATTTTCGTAATTACCAATTATTGACTCATAAAATAAGTTAAGAAAATACAAATACTTTTTAGCTTTTGCACCAAAATAAAAATAAAAATAAAAAAGCCCTTGTATATAAATTTAAGCTATTTAAAATAAAAAAGCCTTTACCCCTTGTAATAAAAATGCACCAAAATAAGCATTTTTCACACCTTGTATATACGTTTAAACTATTTAAAATAATTAATCATAAGTAGAAACTCTTTCAAGTATAAGAACTTTTTACTTCACAAATTCAAATAAGAAAATTAAAGTTAAGTTCATTTTCTCAAGTTTACCCAAATACACCTCAATATATTTGTACTAATTAAAAATATTTCATGCCGTGAGTGAAGACAAGGCATGTGAGTGAAGTTAATATTACACTTAAAGCATGCATTTATTTTCACAACGTGATTATTTAATATTAAAGTCGAAATCACAACCTCTTACCATTGAAAATCTATCTAATAACATTGACAAAATGACAAAAGAGTGAGGTTTGGTGCATTTAAAACTTAAGACTTTTAGTATCTGCAATTGCATGCTGACCAAGTCTTAGATATTTAGGCGCCGTTTACATTGAATATTTTTCTTTTTATTTAAATAAAACAATACTAAATTAATAACTAAACTATAAAATACGTCTTTGATTTTATATATGTGATTGAGATTATAAAACTTTTAATAATTTATGATTCTTTCTAATTTTTAATAATTTATGATTTTATTTTTAATTATATCAATGTTATTAGATAGAGTAAAAAACACATAGGACTTACATAAAATTCTTTCTCTTCTCAATAGCGAATAAAGCATGAAAGAGAGAGCATTGTTTTTGTCTTTTCTTTAATACCCCTTAATTCACATTTGTTGCACAATAAAAATCACATTTATGTAATTTCTTGGCTTTTTAATGTTTCTGCATTTTCTTTATTAGATTGAAGATATAAACAAATCATCTACTAACGGTTGAAGTGAAATATTGTAATATATAGCCTATAACGCTCATATTTTACAATGAGGATTTTCTTTTTTTAATTTTTACCATTCTTGCATGTGATGGGGAATTTGTATTATTATTATTTTTGTTTATTAAAAGTATATTTGTTTAAAATTTGGAATTAGTTTAATTATAATATAATAATAATCTTAATTAATTTAAAATTAACCTGATTCCATTAAATTACCAGAAAGTTAAATTTAGTTATTTCATAAATAACTTTTTTATTAAAAATTTTAAATTAAGAATATTTTGTTACTTTTAAAAATAATTGACACTTCTTTCTTCTCTATTTTTTGTTAGGTTTATATGTGATATGTAATTCTAACTTCTTTCTTCTCTCAAGTTAAAAATTAAAAGTGGAAATAATATCTTAAAAATTGTATATTGTTTTAATTAAAATAAAAATTTTAAATTTTTATCAATGTTTTTGATATAAAATTTTTACAAATGCGTTTCTTAACGTATGTCTCTAAAACACAAGTTAGCATTACATATCACATATAAACTAACACAAAAATATTAATTTATTATTTTAATTATTTTAATTATTAATTTTTGAGAATCAATCAACTTATTTAAAATAATATAGTATAAAAAATATTGCTAACCAAAATTAAATTTTAAATAAAAAATGCATATCAATTTAATTCAACTATCAAATATCAATATCCCACACAATCCAATTCAATAGCTTTAGTATGATACAATTTATTATTAAAACAATAATCATAAACAACACTGAAAATATATAGAAAACTTTGCTAGTACCTTTTAATAATAATACTCATTTATTGTATATTTATATTATAATAATTGCGAATAAAAATATTGAATATTTCAATTATTAGACACTTAATAGATTTAAATAGATATTAAATGTTAATAATTAAAATATTTCAATTACTATAGGTTAAACTACCGACTTCATATTTGTGTTAGGTCTTATTCATGAATCTAGAGAAATATATATACCCATCCTAATGTGAATCAAAATTTTCAAATCACAAAAGTCTTCTCTTCAAAAATCTAAAGTCCATATTACAAACCATAATCTATTGTTAAAAAAAGAAAAAGTCTAAACCACAATATAAAAGATACGGTTTTTATATGAACATTCAATCAAAATTATCTAAATAAATATATGTAGTGATATTTTAATAATAAAATTTAAAAACTAGTATTATAAAACAATTTAATTAAATGCATGTTCTTAATAATAAATTTTAAAACTAGTATTATAAAACAATTTAATTAAATGCATGTTCTTAATAATAAATTTTAAAAACAAGTATTATAAAACAATTTGATTAAATGCATGTTCTTAAAATTAAATATGTACAAATTAAATATATTTAAGTAAAGATAAACACAATAGTACTTTAGAATTTAGTTAAAAATATACCCATTATCATATCATTTTATGCCTTATTTATTTGTATTATCTTTTAGTAAATCAATTAATATTTTGAACCAATATACTATAATTTAGAAGGTAACAAAGTGAAGATTATTTAATAATTTACCTTAAATAAATTATAAAATGAGAATGAAAATAATAATAATAAGAAAAGAAAGCGTATAAAACAATCTTAACCCTAGTAGATCTTCATTCTCCACCAAACTTCTTTCTTCTCATTACTCAACAACCATCACACTTTCCTTTTCAATTTTCATTCTCAGATCTCACAATTCACACTCCTCTCTTCAGAAAACCCTAATTTCTTATCAATTTTCACTCCAGTTCCTTCCGGTTTTTGTAATTTTTAGTAGTAGATTGTGAAAATTTTCTGGATTAATTGTGATTTTCTAGTTAGTGAGTTAGTTTTCATGGCAATGCCAATGGGAAATGCAGTAACACCGGAGATTAAGCATTTTCCGGCAGTGGTTACCGGCGGGGAGATGCAGTACAGGCCACAACAGTGGTTTGTTGATGAGAGGGACGGGTTTATGAATTGGCTTCGCAGCGAATTTGCAGCTGCGAATGCTATTATAGATTCTCTTGTTCAACATTTGCGTGTTGTTGGTGAGGTTGGTGAGTATGATTTTGTTGTTGGTGCAATTGAGCAGAGGAGAGTTAATTGGACTCAGGTGCTTCTTATGCAGCAGTACTATTCGGTTTCTGAGGTTGGGTATGCTTTACAGCAGGTGGCGTGGAGGAGGCAGCAGAGGCCGGTCAAGCCGGTTGTTAAGGAGTTTAGGAAAGTTAGGCAATGGCAGAGATTTGAGGCTGCCAATGGTAAGGAAGGTAGTAATTCTAGTGTAGAATCTCGCCGTTGGGAAGCGAATTCTGTAGTAAAAGGGTCTCAAGTAGTTGATAAGAGTGAAGAACTTAAATCTGGTGGCAAGGTTGGAACTAAGGATGATAAGAGTTCCGACACTGCTGAGGAGAAGAAAGGTAAAGGATGAGTCTGTTGGATTGTTTGACTAGTAGTTTTAAATTGCGGTTGTGAATTTGTGATCTTAGATTTAGTAATAGGAGACCATTAAACCATAATGTTAGGGTCACACAGTTGCTGTTGTAAATCACTATTTGAAACTGTGATATTCATTATACCATGTGTTGTCAAATAGGGACGCTATAGCACTAGTATAGGAGAATTTGAATAAATCGTTAATGTGCAGCAAAAGCGCTGTGGTATAGCAGAGTTTGAACAAATATTTATTTTCTGTTATATACAATTGGCAACACTGATTATAATACACTGTTAATCTTGGATTTCTAGGTGATATTGTTCTTTGCAGCTTTATCCAATATTTATTCTTCTTATGATCTTGACTTTATGTGTTATTATGGTTTTGAACTGCAACTGTGGGGATCATTGTAAACTGCAATTTAAAATTAAAATTAAAATTATGACGTGCATTATTCTAAAATACTGTGAATATTGGATGTGTATCTTTATACATGAATTCAGACCTTTTGACCTGATAAAATTAGTAACATTTCAAAGTTTCTGTGTTTTTGGATACTTTTTCTTTGCTTGAAGCCATCTTGATTTTTTCATCTACTGGCTGCTTGAGCAGATACTGTAATAAATCATCAATCTGATGTCATTTCGAAGAGCTCTGTCAATTCTCAAGGATCACTGTCCAGTGCAGAATGTAAAGCTGTGGGTGTAAATGAAGAATGTGCATCAAAGTCTGGAGGTTTTATTCCTGTTGACTATGATTCAAATAATGATATATATTGAATTCTAGAAGTCATGAGACTATGATAGGTTTATACAGGAACTTTTGGAATAAAGTGAATATCATCTTAGATTCTTACAGCAAGTAATGCTCGGACTCTGTCCACCATCTTCCCTGTATATGTCACATGTATTCTACATACCTTCAAACTGATATCCTGTTTTTTTTTTTTAAAATATCAATCTATAGTTTCTTACGCTGCCTTTTTAGTTTTCGCGTACCATGTAAGGGTTGGTCTAGTGGGGAAGGCTTGGGTCCTAGGTGCAAACAATTGCTGTGTTGGGCAAATTCCATACAGAGCTTTGTTTTGGCTTTAAACAGTGCCCCCCAAGTGGACGGTGGGATTGGTCCCCTTAGATTAGTTGATCGTGATACCAAGATTTCAAAAAAATCAAAAGTTATAGAATCAGAGTCACCTTATACACATAGTTTTCTGTGAAGATTGGTTTGATATAGGTTTTTCATCATATTGATACTCTTGTACAATGTGTTTCCAGAAAATGATTCACTTTCTATGCAAAATCAACACCAGAGCGAGAATGGTTCTACCACAGGAAAAACTTATATTAGCAATGAGATGTTTGATGGGAAGATGGTAGGATCTTTTAAATAGTTTCCTTTTTCGTCATCTTTTCTTCCTTTTCTCTATCTTTTATGTGCTAGTTTATGGTGCATTTGTTTTTAATCTTTAGGTTAATGTGGTTGAAGGACTGAAATTGTACGAAGATTTATTAGATAGTAATGAAATTTCTAAACTTGGTTCATTGGTCAATGATTTGAGGGTTGCTGGAAGAAAAGGACAATTGCAAGGTAAGTGCATTGTGTCTTACATCTTCATATTGAAGGAATTTATTGCTGATGCCTGATTTATATTGGTTCTTTTTTAATAACTTTTCTCTGATTGTTATGCATTAGCCAATGTGTGTGGCAAACACTTGATACTTGCTAGGTTCTTCGGACATATTTTCAATGTTGGCAATGTCAGTGAATAATGATAGTCTATATGTATTATTTTTCTAGTCTTTAAGTAGTTGAGTAGTTATAAAAAAGAATTCCTTAGCATTACCTATGATGCTAACTAGTAACTAACATCTTTAAAGTGGGAGCTCGACATTTGCAAATGACAAGTCAAATATTTACTGCACTGTTTATTTTCCGACTCTTGCAATAAACTATGTATTATCTCTTTCTATTTGTTAAGATGCCATAAAAGGAGCTTGCTTTTGTAAAACCATTACAATTTCTGAATCTTCGGTTAAAATAATTCTTTATCAAGAGATGAGGGCTACAAAACAGAAGAACACTAACTCTATCTAGTGCAATGAAATTAGAGGAGGAAAAAATATTTGACGAAAATCATATCAGCTCAAAAGGACGTTTTCTTATAAAAAAGCGATCAATCTTCTCTTATATTTCTATCCTAGCAAAATCCAATTATTGAAGTTATAGGGTTTCAGATAAACAGGGAAGAGAATAAAATAAAGACTTTTAATTGTCATTATGGTTTGATATGATACTTACCCTTATTTATGCTAGAACTAAACTCCTAATTCTAATCAAATAGGGATGCTCCCAACATGTCATCGACACGTCTTACCATCGTCATTTAATGTAGGAGAAACAATGTAAGGGGATGCAATTAAAATTGTATACAATACAAGGGTTAGGGCAGGGGAGGACGGTTAGGGAAAGGAATGAAGATGAGGTGGCAAATTGACTGATTACATGTGCATCAATGAGTGTCAACGAGGATGTTTACATGGGTTTTCATGAGTCATCTCAACTTGAATGTTAATTTCTATTGACCATAAAGACCATGTTTGATAATTATTGATATTTGAGGGATTCGAAGTTTTTGAGGACCGATAACAAGATTCTTTAATTTTTAGACAAAATCATATTTAGCTTTTTTTTTTTTTCTTTATCGAGTTCAATGATTCACCTCATTTTGTCCATTGACCTTGTAACTTCAAGGGTTTGAGTTCAAATCCCCTTACGATGAGTTATATGGGAGATATATAAAGGTAGATAGTGGGTCCCTCAACCAAGCGAGTCTCACCATCATTAATTGTTTCTTATTTTTTTTTCAAACTTCATTGTATCTATCTCTCCAAATGGATCTTTCCATTTTTTTGAGAAATAGAGAGGATCCTAACCCTTCACGATAGTTTTAAAATGGCTATTAGTACAGTTTTAATAAATTGTAATTTCTTCTTTCGCAATTTAAAAATGGTCCACTTCATTTGATTTATGAGTTAAAGTAAAATATTTTTCATGTCTGGCTTTAGTTAAAAGATACACAAAGAGGTGATGGCCTTGTGAGCCTTGGTACTCATTCAGGATACAAACAATGAGATTAAATGATGATATTTTAGAACATAAAGTAATAAACTAAAGTAGCCTAGTCTCAGCACAAATTGAAAATTGTTTGATAAAGCAAAAGCTCATCCTACCTATAGTTTCAATAACCCAATGAAGTTTCTACTTTTGAATACCCATTGCTAACTCCTAGTATTTTGTTAATGTATATTTTAGTTGTATTTATTTCCACAATAAATTTTAGGTTAAAATCTCTCTTCCACATTGATTTTAAAATTTTCTGGAAACAGAACAGAGTAATCCAAACACGCCCAGCCTAAGTCAAGAGTTCAACCATTTTAACTTATGCACTTCTGCCAATAGTTAAACTCTTGAGCCATCCCTATTAGTTCCTAGGACTTTAACTAATGCCCCAATATATCCTTACATTAAAATGCTGTTAAATAGCCAGTTAATCACAACCATCTATCTGTTAAATCTAGACCTTTGATTTATTCTTTTATTTTTAATATATACAGATTAGTTAGATAAAAGCTATAAAAAACTTAAAATAATTAATTCAAGCAGTGTGCCATTCTAGAATTTGTTTAATCGACTGCATTTTGTAGAATATGTATGGATTGCTCTCTTGTCTACCTTTTGTTCTAAAATTATCAGTTTTGTTTTTGCTCTAAGTAAAACCATAGGATAAAATTGCCATTTCTGAGAAAAATAAATCTACTCATACCATTACATCCGTTTCATTCTTTCTGGGAATTTTGTTATAATCAATATTTGTTATATTAGAGATTTTATGTAAGTTTTTTATTTTTCAAATGAATTTTTTATCATATCATTGGGTAATGTTACTGAAAAAAAGGACTTATTTTTATAAACTGCAGCACAAATGCCTTTGCTAGTACAAAGTACTTTTTCATTTTTAACAACTGCTAGTTGCTGATATGTTTTATGAACAGGAAGTCAGACGTATTTGTTTTCTAAAAGGCCCATGCGAGGACATGGAAGGGAGCTGATTCAGCTGGGTGTTCCCGTTGCTGATGCACCACTAGATGTGGACAATGTTACAGCATCATCCAAAGGCAGGTTTTCTATCTCACTCACACACACTCAAATACAAACAGAGAGAAAGAGAGAGACATACATATGTCTAGTTCAGTTGTGTTTTTCTCTGCAGTCACGTTATTTGTCTTTCCCTACCGCTAATAATCACCCATGAAATTTCACTAATTCAATTTGACAGATAAGAATGTGGAACCTATGCCTTCCTTGTTTCAAGATATCATTGAGCGCATGGCTGCCTCACAAGTGATGACTTTGAAGCCTGATGCTTGCGTTGTGGATTTCTATAACGAGGTAACTTCTTGTATGTTGTTTTGGGGAAATGGGTGAGTATATTGGGAATTTGGCATGTTATCGAATTTGCTAATGTAACCCGATATCTGTATTACAATTATCTATAGGGTGATCACTCGATGCCAAACAGTTGGCCATCTTGGTTTGGAAGGCCTGTTTATATGCTTTTCCTGACTGAATGTGACATGACTTTCGGGAGGACAATTGTCCCAGATCACCATGGGGATTATAGGGGCAATGTCAAGCTTTCTCTTGTACCTGGGTAATATTTGTTAACCTTATTTGTCGTGTACTTAGTGTTTATGCTGTTGTTATTATTATTATTATTATTATTATTATTATTATTATTATTATTATTATTATTATTATTATTATTATTTGTACTTAGGGTCTTCCGAGAATCATAGAAGCCAGGTAAATTGTGGTATTTCAAATTTATTGTAGAAATGTCTATTGTTTGGTTTTAATTTTGGAAGGGTTGAAAGCAATTCTAGAGATGTAGGATTGATTTTTAGTTGATTTTGATGTGTTTGGTTCTTCTAAAGTAGAATTGATTATGCCTCGAGAATTGGTTCTACCCGAAGCTAGGATTTGTAGCTTTTGAGTTTAAGCGTAATTTTTACACAGAAATTAATTGTTCAACTCACTTTTGCATAAATGTTAACCAAACATAAATCACTCTATCTTCAACTCACTCTTTACCAAAATAAATTTTATAGAATCAATTCACTCAATCAATTTTTTGTTTCTGTGGAGCTTAACATGCATGTTCTTAGGACGAGTAAAATTGCTTTCATTGGTTGAAACATCTTTAAATGTACTTAGACAAAGCCAGAGGTGTTATTATCTAGCTAGGTCTTTTGATAATTGAAAAATATACTAGTTGAAGTTTAGTTGATAACTAAATGAATTTCCTTGCATCATGCTGTGTTGTGTTTCATCATCCATGAATTCTAGCTTTTTTGTATCCAATCAAAATAAGCTCTATTTTTGATGTTTGTTTTTATAATTTCTATGGATAGTATTTATTTCTTAGTGATACATATGTTTTCTACCATGATACTGTGCTTATAATTTGGCTCTTGTAACTTGAAAGGCGTGCTTTTATATAATTGTATTCAAAGGATTTTTGCTGCCATGAATCATAAAGCATGTGATATGGGGACTGACATTATTTATCATTGTCGCATAGTTTTTCAACCGTTACTCAATACTAAGTGTCCTTGTAAGCTTAGAAGTCTTGTACCTTTATGCTCGAGGAGGTCAATGGTTGAGTTAAATACATTGGTTATGATTATTAAAGACAGATAGCTTATTCTGTATAATGCTGCCTATTTTTTCTTTACTCAGATTCAATAACTCAACACCTAGATACTATGGCTTATTATTATTTACTCTGTTGCAACTGTAGATCCCTTCTAGTGATGCAAGGGAAATCAGCTGATATTGCCAAACATGCTATTCCTTCTATTCAAAAACAACGCATACTTGTTACTTTCACAAAGTTTCGACCAAAAAAGTCTCTGCCAATCAATACTCAAGGTCTTGCTTTGCCAGCAACATCACATTACTCAGCCAGATCTCCAAATCATATCAGTCATCGGGCGTTAGCTCCCAAGCATTATTCTGCAGTTCATGTAACCGGAGTACTGCCGGCTCCTTCCCTACAAGCACCTCCTAACAGCATGCAGCCATTGTTTGTGCCGGCACCAGTTGCTACTCCCATGCAATTTGCTACATCCATGCCGATCCCTCCTGGCTCTACGGGATGGACCACAGCTCCTCCAAGGCATCCTCCTCCTCGAGTCCTTGTTCCCGGAACGGGAGTCTTCCTTCCTCCACCTGGCTCAGCTAATTCATCTCAGCACTCACAAGGTACCTTAACTGAAACCAACCTAGGTGCTGGAGCTCCAGCATTGTCGATAAAGGAAAATGGGAAATCTAATCATAACACTACTAATGGTTCACCAAAAGGTAAAACGGATGAAAATATTCTAAGGCAAGAATACAATGGAAATGCAAGTGGAACTGAAGTCGAACAAGCTACAGAGCAAGCTATAGAGGAAAACAATGGAGAAACAGTTGCAAGCTAATGAGAGATTAGAGAGGAACGAAAGGTTCATCAAAGGAAAAAGATAGACAAGTTAATTTGAGTTCGAATCAAATGTAAAAAGCGGCAACATTTGAGATAACATTATATACTGCAAAGGAGAGAGCAAGAGAAGGGTGTAGAACGTTTTGGTTCTCTTTAAAATCCTTTCTGTTTGATCCATCCCTTTTTTTTTTGTTTCTTATTGATATTATATTAACTTCTATAGTAAGAGAAAACTCATTCTTAATTCAGATTTAAATGCTCTAACGCCGAATTCTTTTGCTCATTTTGCTATTGATTTTTATTGTAGTGATGTTTGCTTCACGATTTTTCAAAAAATATATAGTAGCCTGAAGCATGTGAGATTCTTGTCGAATCTATGAGAAGCTTCTCTGAGCTTTGCCGAGGCAGAGAGAGATTGGGGAAAAAGATAGAATGACCTCATTTATTGTAGTGTTAGTGGCAAAGACTATTTAAAATTGTGGCTTTGTTTGAAAGATTAGAGGGGAGGACAATGGCTTTGTTTGACAGTTTAAAGGGGAGAAGGGGGAGGACAAGGCTCTGTGAGATAAAGAGATTTGGATAAACATAGATAAATTTTTTATATTTTTTAAAATGAAGAATTTATATAGAATGATAAATAAATATTTATTATATAAAATGTAAGTTTAATAAAAAGAAAAGTGTTTTTAATTTAGAGGTAAAAGTTAAAGATTATATTATCTCACAAGTCATGTTTAAATATCTTAGGTCTGTAATATAAAATGATGGAGAAATAGATGAGGATATAAATTATTGAATTCAAGTTGAGTGGTTGTAATGGAGAGAGCTTCAGGAAATTTATGTAATAGAAAGATACCGCTCAAGTTGAAGGGAAAGTTTTATCGAATTGCGATAAGGCCTGCGATGTTATATGAGACATAATGTTGAGTGTTGGGTGTGTGGTAAAATTAGACATAATAAGATTATAAATAACAATATTAGAAAGAGTGTTCGGGTAACACTTATAGTAGAAAAAATGGTGGAGAATAGATTTCGGTGATTTGAACATGTAAAGATAAGACTTTTAGATTCTTTGGTAAGAATAGAAGATCAGATAGAGAAGGGCCAATGGTTAGAGGTAGATAAAGACTTAGAAAAAATAATTTATGATTTTTTGTAGGGGTTAACACATCAATTCTGCAGTGGTTAACACCATGCTTTCTCATTCGAGAAAAGTTAAATTTTGATTTTTTTGTTATTATAATCACTATTCTAATACAGTAAAAATAAAGAAGTGTTATGAGTTGGATTTACACGAGTCCAAGGTTAACAAATTCTTTGAGACTACATGTTAGTGATTGAGACACTTTATTTACCATGAAGATAATTATTATAGATGATGTTGCATCACATGAGTTTGATAATGATGCAACAAAAACCTGACATATGCATTTGGATCATCTTAGTGAGCATGAGATGATATGATTTCATAAGAGAAATCTATTGAACGGTGTTTGTAGCTGTAAGATAGATTTGTGCAAGTATTATCCACATGGAAAACAATGTCGTATCAGAGTGGAAATCATAAAACAAAAGGAATTTTAAACTATGTACATTCTCATGTATAAGGGTGTTAATTGACAATTTCGATGCCAAACTTTGTTTAAGAATAATAAACAAAGCTCTCTTTCGACAGGAGTTTTGAATTTCAAAATACGGATAATAACTGTCTTTTGTCCCTATCCGTTTCTCAGAGAAGACGTGTGGAGAGCTGTGGCGAAATGAAGACATGCAGAGCAAAACATGTCATTTTTTGGAGGAATATCCGTTGAAGACAGTTATTTTCAACATATTATAAATAGGAGTCTTAGTGTTTAAAATTTTTGTGTGTTCAATTGTTGTACAATACTCATAAAATCACTCAAAGTATCTAAGTCAATTGAGAAAAGAGTTATCATTGAGAATGTACGTCTGAAACACCACATTATTTCATTTCAATAGAAATTTATTTCCAGTTATCAATTATTTCTTTTACTGCACTTTTACTTTGAAGTTTTCTTCATTGCATTTTCTTTATCAATTTCTGCAAAGCTTATCTTTTCTAAAACTTTAAAACAACCTTTTACAAATATGAATGTTGTCGAAGTGTTCTTAGAATTTTCAGAAAGAAATTAAACAATAGCTATTTCCTTAGGATTCATTGGTTGATCTTGCAAGTAAACCATTTTTGAAAGACTAACGATTGTTTACCAATTTTCACGGTAAACAAATTGGCACACCTGGTGGGGCAATGCTATTGTTAAAAAATATTTTTTATTTTTTCTTTCTGAACATTTTTGTATAAGATTCTTCATTTTTACTATCTCTCTAAACTTCGTTGCATGAGACTTAGGAGTGGCAGAATAGCCACAACCAACGAAGAGAGATCAAGGAGAAGATACATAAGGAGGATAGTGAATCAAAATCCACCAAATAATGGAAAACCACCCCCTTCTTCTTCGACAGGGGAAAAACGGTTCCAGCGTTAGTTTTTGAAACGCATGTGCAGTCGATTGCACAAAGTGGACCAATTTTATCCTATATGGGAACACAGGGTCCACCAGTGGGGAATAATTTATTCAGGCCTTATATGTCTGGATTCTCAATGCCCCCAATAGGTCGCGAACAACCTTATGACATGCCAACATCAATGATAACAAGTTTGCGAATACCACATTAGCATTCATAGACCCAGTGGTGAACGTAACTTCGTCATTGCAAGGATCTGGTTCAGGCATCAATAACATGGATCTAATTAGTCAGCCCTTAGGACAAGATTTCCTACCCAAATGCCTAATATCACCAATAATTCTGCAGCAGGATAAGGCAACAGATGGGCGAAAGCAACCATGAGATGATCCAAATGCTTGCCCAACAAATGAGTATCATATTCAACCCTTTAATACAAAACAATACCTAAATAAATCAGCAGATGGCAGCGCAAATGACGCGCATTGCTGATTTCTTTGGTGTTCCACAACCCCCTTGACAGCCCCAGAGGGAATGAATGGTAGAAAACCCAAGGGTAGTCTTGGAAGAAGATCCCACAATTAACCAAATCCAACGGAACACACCCCATGTGAACATAGGAAACCAGGGAGTAGGAATCGAACCACCTAGGATCGAACTTCCTAGAATTGAGCAATAAATCCCAATGGAATGAAAAGTAGTGATGGTGAATAGGAACAAAAACACTGATGAAGTTATAAATCAAGTTTAACGTGAGGATATGGCAGCAAACAATAATCTAACAACCATGGTAGAAAGAATTATGGCAAGGAATGGGGTGAATATTGGCCTTCATAGGCCGAATTATACATCACCATTGTAGGATATGTTCTGCAAACAGAATTACCCCTAGATGGAAAGTCCCCAAATTTATTAAGTTTTCTGGGGATACTAGTGTGTCCACAGTCGAACCTGTGGCTAGATACCTAATAGAGGCATGGGAAAATGCCAATAATGAGAACCTAAGGATGAAATATTTTCCGAGTTCACTTACCAAGAATGCCTTTACTTGGTTCACCACATTACTAGCAAATTCAATCCACAATTGGACTCAACTGGAAAGATTTTTCCATGAACAATTCTACATGGGGCAGTCAAAGATAAGTTTGAAGGAATTGGCCAGCATTAAAAGGAGATTTTCTGAGCCAATTGATGATTACTTAAATAGGTTTCGTTTGCTTAAGGCCAAATGTTTCACACAAGTGCCTGAGCATGAGTTGGTTGAAATGGACGCTGGTGGCCTTGATTACTTAATTAGGAAGAAATTGGATACACAATACCTGAGAGACATGGCCCAGTTGGATGACAGAGTTCAACAAGTAGAACGCCTGAAGGCTAAGAAAGCCAGGGCGAACAAGAATAATATAAAAGAAAGTGTAGCCTACGTCGAATTTGAAGAAGACGAACAAGAAACGAGTAGTCATCCTTTTTTCGACGAGAGCGAAATCGACCTTGCTAAACTAAAGCATGGTACACCTTATTCCTATAAATTCTTAACACCGTCGAATGGAAAAAATCCAGTCGATTCATAGAAAAGTGATAGGTTTCCTAAGAGAACTTATACCTTCAACGTCACTAAGTGTGACGAAATATTATACTTGTTAGTTAAGGATGATCAGATGATAGTGCCCCTTGGTGCTAAAATGCCTCCTTTATAACAAAGGAAAAAGAGAGGTTTTTGTAAATACCATAACTTTTTGGGTCATAAAACTTCTTAATACTTTATTTTCAGGTATCTTGTTCAAAACACAATCAAGGAAGGAAGGATCAGGTTCGTTGACAAGTTAAAGAATCAAATGAAGATAGACTCTGATGCTCTTCTAGTAGCGGATGCACATCACTCTGAGCCATCCATGGTTAACATGGTAGAAGTTACTGAGGACTTTTCCAACGACGCTGTGATGGTCAAAGTTGCTGAAGACTTCGCCGAAGGGGTCACTTAGGATTCCAAAAACGAAACCACTGAGGGTTTCGCCCAAGAAGTTACTGAGAACTTCAATCAAGAGGTCACTGATGGCCTCGACAAGGAAGCTACTGAAGGCTTCGCCAAGAAAGTCACTGATGACTTCAAAATGGAAACCACTGATGGTTTCTCCAAGGAAGCTACTGAAGGCTTCAACAAAGGAATCACCGAAGGTTCCAACCAAATAATTACAACACATGAGACTGTTGAAGGTTTCAAACAAGTCAACAGCAAAACTAAGGCTACTAAAGGCCTTAGAATCAAATTGCAAGAGTTGGACATCACTGAGGGTGCTAACCTAGGAGTCAATATGGTCGAAATGACCTAGGAATTTGCAATGGAGGTGGACGAAAATAGCCTCAAGCAGGAAGAATATGTCAAGGTGGCTTATCCTAAGCAGGATGAGAATTTGGTCGAATTTCTCAATAGATGCCAAAGGAAGAACTCTGAAGTAATGATGTACCCAAGGTGCAACACAGTCTTTGATAAAAAGGTTGTAGAGAACATAT